AATATCGAGCCGGCGCGGTTGATTTTTTCTATTTTCAAAATAAAAGTTTTTATCGTAGAGTCATATAGGCGTTGTACGTGTGTTTATTGAATAGTTTAAGTCAATTCCAAATACTTTTTCAAATTTTTAGGCCGATGAAAAACGAAAGTGTTCTCAGTTTACGTGGTGCTGCGGGCGTGTCCTGCGACCGATTTGGCCCATTTTCAATACCAACCTACGTGCAAGAACTTCCAATGTTTCTGCCAAGTTTAAAGTCGATAGCTTAATTTTTACGTCCAGGATAATGTTTACAATAGGCATTATACAGACAGACAAACGATCAGGCGAACAGGCGAACAAACGGACAGACGGACATGCTTAAATCGATTTAGAATGGGATGCTGATCAAGAATATATATACTTTGTGGGATCTCTGATGGTTCCTTCTGGGCGTTCACGCTTAGACAAATTGAATATACCTCTCATCGTTCGGTGATGGGTATAAAAATAGTATAAAATAAAATTTCTGCATGTACATATATATACACAGACGGGATGGACAAACACTATATAATACACGAAGTACCATCTTGTTGTCTGTTGACAACATTGGTCCATCTAAATAATGCCACACGTATCTGCTGCATATTTCGCGTACTAAGTCTAGTAGGCTATATTCCAGTGTTTTATGGGACGGTTAAAACAACCGATCCGTGAAATGTATTATCTCTTAGACATCAAAACTTGGTTCTCGTTTGGCGTGGACGAAACAACTGTATTTTTTAACGTTGCATGAGCGACATTATCCGCGGTAATGGCAGCACTCGCAAAACGTGATGAAACATAGTCGGCAAAGAGGAACAGTGGCTGGAACCCAAAGTTAATTGACAGAGATCGATGAACGTTAAAAACGATTGTGGCCAGCAAACATAAAATCGGTGCGGCGAAAGTGACTGCAGATCTCAAAATTCATATCAGTAAAATTGGTTTGGCGAAACTTGCACTGTACAATTTTGCCAACGTTGACAGCTCGTTATTTGACAATGATTCAATATTTTACCGTTCTGCTCTTTTTTATCATGGCGTTACACATGTTGTCCGAGCTAGATCATTCCAAGCTCTAAAAAAGATTATTAGCTTTTTTTTTTAAAAACTATTACTTTTGATAATGGATCCGTCAAAAATCCATACTGTCATCAAGTATGAGTTCTTAGGTGGAATTACGGCATGGTAGACCGCGCGAAACATAAATAGTGTATTTGGTTGTAGTGTAACTACAAGCAGCAGATAGTATCAAATTGTTTGCCAAATTTTAGCAGAGGTAACTTTTTTAATCTGACAAATAATCCACGCGGACGCAGAATCAAAAGCCAATAATGATATATTAAAGGCCACCGTTGAATCTGCCACATCTCAAAGTGCTTATGAATTGTCATTAAAGTTTGGTATTACCAAACAAACAATATTAACTCATTTATCTCAAATCGGGAAATTAACAAAGTTAGATAAGTGGATTCCTGATGAACTCAACGAACAACATAGACAAAAGCGTTTTGTAGCTTGTTTCGAGATTGAGATCGTACCACTGAATTGAGATTCTTAGGTTAACGTTGGTTGGCTTTATTTACATTTCTTATGAGATCTGTTTGCAAATTATTTACAAGTACTTACGTTTACAATGCTTCTTTTGTCCCTATTCGTTTCAATATTACGATTTAACTCTCTTGAGCCGACTGACTTTGAACTTCGGAAACATCCTCCCGAACTCCGGATGTATCCTTTTACAAGCCAGTTACCACCACCTAAATCCATTTTGACATATTTGTGTTAATGTATATTAATGCGTTTTTCTACGAAATGTTCTGCATATTGCTGTTAATCTTTTCGACAATCGTCAGCTGCGTGAGGCAGGTACAGCGTTATAAATGCGTATTTGGCTTGGCCATCTCCGTGTAATTTGCAACTCGAATCATGAAATGTGGAATTTTCGTAACAATAGTAATATATGCATCAATTAGATAGTGATAACGATATTATTTATGATCAGTAATATATAGGTTTTTCTGTACTTTAATTTATTGGACCTAAGCCATGTTGTAAAGGTGATAACTTAATTAAATAAATAAATATATAACATTTTTTCTTATAGTCAAATTTTTTCGACTAGTTTGATATGATTTACTTACGGTTGCTTAGATTCCTCACGATGTCCCTATTGTTTATTCATATCTAGGCGTTGGAATATTTCTCTTCAAATATTAATCAGTTTTGTTGGCCGTGATAACCAATGCCAAGCCATGATCGTCGGATATGTAAAAACAAAAAGTAGTGCGACTCATCCGATGCAAATGCCTTCGGAATGTCTGTGCAACATATATATCGCTATTGAAATAAATTGAAAAATTTTTTTGAAGGAAATACTTGCAGTTTCAGCTGTAAAATGAATTTAGATGTCTACGATAACTCCTATAGTCAGACCCTTCAGATCCCTAAATGAAATTCTACTTAAGATCCAAAGGATGCATATTTGTTTGTTTTTTTTTTTTTGGTTTAGCTGATCTCTTCATATACACGTGTTGAGATTTTTATTAATCCTTGAGAGCGAAGAGTGATTATGATTGAAAATTAGGTACAATGTCAACAATAAAATATTTTAAAAGTAAAAAATCCATTAATAAAAGTAAGTAATGGTTGTCATCACTCGATTTGCCACGGTTGTGCAGGTTCTCTTCAATTAACTCTATTCATTGAGTAAATAAAATTGATTTATAGATGAAGAAACAAAACTGGAAAACCAGAAAATAAATCAAATGAAAAATTCATTATTATATATTTTAAGGTTAGAAAATAAATAGATGAAAGCACGCGTATTAAATCATTAACATAAATAGTAATTTAATTATACATATTGTTGAGGCTCCCTTGTGTGTACATACTACACTTATTATTCCCGTCATAAGAAAAGCGGATGGATTATCAAAATATTACTGTAAATCAGACTGTATGTTCCTATTTTCTTCATTTATTTATTTATTTATTTATTTATTTTTTTTTTTTTAAGTTTTTAAGTAAACAATCGATAAATTGATTAAGTAAGTTACTCTTCTAAGTATTTTTATGCATTGTATAATAATTAAATAATCAAAGTCATACCAAATTCAAAGATAGTGTCGCAAAAACTTTACACCTGTAAACAATCTAGTTTTTAGAGGTATGTCAAGGTGTTTTTTATTCTTCATTACAACCACTACTAGAGGTTATTTTAAAGTGATCGTTCCACATGTCACACGCGTGCATTAAATTCAAAAAATTCTCGCTCCTCTAGCTGTAATCACTACTTAAGATAGGGTTGTGAGAAATGTTCTTCTTCTTTTTTTCATGTCACTGTCTCAATTTCTAGATATAAAATTTGCAGTAGATTTTTTCGACTTTTTTCGATCTTTATATATATAGCTGGTCAAATAAATTGAGACATATTTCTCTTTTTTTGTTTATGTTAGTTAACCATCTTTGAAGGTTCCCATAACGTGAATATTGGCGAATAGATCAATGAACAGAATCGAATTCGAGTTTAATTTTATTGACATATTTTTATATATATGCTCGTGACTTTAACAGATATCATAGCGATTTTTAGGAGATCGATATGTACGCGTTTTCAGAAATCATATACGCGTACGAAAGGTATAAAATAATTCGGATTAAACTTTCTTATAAGTGTCTTTAATATTATTTACTGTCAATGCATATACGTACTTGCATGTATAAATGTTTTTATGTTTTAGGTATTAATCATTACATGTATACATATATGTTATATATATGTTTGTGTACATCTGTCCAATTGTAATAGGTCAGGGTGAAATCAAGTTTTTTCGTTACCAAAATTAAATGACTATTTTGAATATCATCATCGTCATCATGATAATCATCGCTAGTACACTTGAAATAGTAAAACAAGTCGTCCGTAAAAAACATTTTCAAATTTGTACATGTAAATTCACTCAAGCATTGAAAAGTTATTTGAATAAAAAGTGCGTTAAGTTTGTGTTTTCATTGTTGTTGTTAATGTTGTTTCTGCCACTAACGATTATTTCGTAAATAAACCGTTCTTTTTTTTCCCTTTTGATTTACAATTCACGAGAAGTACATATGTAAATATGTTTTGTATAGTAAAGCGGTAACGCGTAAGTGCGTGTACTTTTTTGATTTCATATCTTGATTGTCTGTCAAATATTTCAAAGATTTCTTAATTCAAGGAAATTGTTATAACAAACAAAATGAATGAAGAACAACATTTTTAACTAGCGCTTCTGCAGTAGATCTACGTCCCAGATTATGCTTGTAAGAGATGGTTATAAAGTTTATATAAGACATTAAACAACTAACTGTCTAAGCAATTTGAAAACGTGCTAATCATCACGATAACATTCGAGCTCTTTTTTGCCGAGAACGTTTTATTTTATATATAAACATAATTTTATTTAAAAGAAGAATATAAAACAGTTATTTTTTTAAGATTTTATTTTGAAAAATCCTAATTTAATATTTATTTCGCATATTTAAAAGTTAACATTCCTTAGCTTGACATTTAGTGAACATCGCTATAGTCATGTATTTTAATATTGTAAGCAGTATTAAAAGCAAATAATGTTTCATTGTTTAAAAATAAACTCTCGTTAAGACCTAAATAAACCTGTCCACTCATAAAAATCGCATCATTTTTTGATGTTAACATTGCTAACTAATGACCATTGTAATAAATCATTTTTAAAAACTAACAGCATTTGTTATTCGTTTTAACGGTTGACATTCAGAAGTTGGTATTGTTTACCGTTAACAGGTATTTTCCTTTTCCAAGTCAAACGAATAAAGTTTTAAATATTTTACAAAAGTTTTTTTGTTTTTCTTTTTATTGTAATTCATACATAAATTTATATTTTATATAATTTACAAAGAGAAAAATTATTTGAATATCATTGCATTCGTCATCAAAGCTCAAGGTACTACCGTAGTTGTTCATAACAGAGATACATTGTAATTAATTAATTTTACAGTTTACAGTTTTAATACTTTTATTTTGTGTGAGTACATTCCAAATGTTCTTTCTTAAAAAGTGAAAGGAGTATTGGGTTTATTGTAGTTGTAACCATCAGGGCCAAAAGAACCGGAGTCTTCTCCAGTGCCTGGAATGGGATACGTGGGTTGAGAGCTAGGTCGTCCGGGTTGTGGTTTCGATCCTGGTCCTGGTCTAAATGGACTAATTTCATTATCGACAATAGGCGGATAGTCTGGTGGCCCTTGTGGCGGCTTCGGTGAAAGTCCAGGTTGTGGTCGAGGCTGATAAGTGGGTCCAGGCGGAGGCTGCTGTGGTCTACCGCCAGGTCCCTGTGGCCTTTGTAAAGTTCCATCTGGCGGCAAATATTCTTGACCGGGTAGCCCAGGTTGACCAGGCCGTGCAGGCTGTCCAGGGCGACCAGGTGAGTAGCCGGGCGTGCTAGGTTGAGATGGTCTTCCAGGCAGGCCGGGTGCACCGGTGCATCCAGGTTGCCCAGGAAAATTATTACAATCGGGTTGGCTAGGTGCACCAGGATGTCCAGGGTATCCAGGCTGGCCCGGTTGGAATCCACAACCCGGTTGACCTGGATATCCAGGTTGACCTTCACATCCTAAAGAGCTGGGTCTTCCAGGGATGCCCGGTTGGGAAGGAGTATATCCGGGCTGTCCAGGTCGGCCACCAGGTTGACTTGGGCGAGCCGGTGTTGCAGAACATCCAGGTTGCGGGAAGGGGCCACTGCAATCTGGTTGAGCAGGTATACCTGGTCGGCCAGGTTGTGTAGGACCGCCGGGTTGGCTAGGGCTTCCATGGTATCCTGGTTGGCTGGGCTGACCAGGCTGACCAGGGCGTCCAGGCTGAGGTCCACATTCCGGCTGGCCGGATGATCCAGCTCGACCATCACATCCGGAAGGACGCGGTCTGCCAGGACTACTCGGTTGGGTAGGGCCATGTCCAGGCTGTCCAGGTCGACCATTAGGTTGGCCTGGTCGTGTTGATCCAGGACATCCAGGTGGTGGAGAAGGCCCACTGCAGTTGATTGGAGGCAAGCCTGGTCGGCTAGGTTGTCCAGAAAAACCAGGTTGACCAGGGCGACCAGGGTATCCAGGTTGAGGTCCTTGGGTTGGTCCTCCTGGTGGCAAGTATTCTTGACCAGGGCGTCCAGGTCGTCCAGGCTGTGCTGGTATAGACGGCTGACTGGGCTGTCCGGGGAAACCAGGTTGAGTAGTTTGACCGGGAAAGCTAGGCTGTACAGATGGCTGCCCAGGCAAGCCAGGTTGATTAGGACCCACATTTTGGCCAGGAATTCCAGGTTGTCCAGGGCGACTAGGTGCGCTAGGTTGAGACGGTCTTCCAGGCAGGCTGGGTCTACCAGGGCATCCAGGCTGTCCAGGTGAACTGCTGCAATCAGGTTGGCTAGGCACTCCGCCAGGATATCCAGGTTGATCAGGCTGACTAGGACCTCCAGGTAAAAGTCCACATCCCGGTTGACCTGGAAAACCAGGTTGGCCACCACATCCTGAAGGCCCAGGCCTTCCAGGAGTACTAGGTTGGGACGGGCTATATCCAGGTTGTCCAGGTCGACCAGGCTGACTTGGTCGGGGGCATCCGGGTGGCGGGGAAGGACCGCTACAATCTGGTTGACTAGGTGCACCAGGCCGGCTTGGCTGTACAGGAGTACTAGGTTGACCAGGGCGCCCCGGATAACCGGGTTGGTCTGGTAGTGGTCTTTGAGGTGAGCCATCTGGAGGAAGGTATTCCTGACCTGGGCGACCTGGCTGTCCAGGGGTAGCGGGTTGTCCGGGCCGACTGGGAAAGCCAGGTTGGGCGGGACGACTGGGGGAGCTAGGTTGATAAGGTGGCTGGCCAGGTAAACCAGGCTGGCCAGGCTGGCTTGGGCGGCTAGGGCGACCAGGTGGATAAGTAGGTTGGCCAGGAGTTCCAGGTTGAGCAGGGCGACCAGGTGAATAACCAGGTGTACTAGGTTGTCCAGGTCTTCCGGGTAACACGGGTGCACCAGGGCATCCAGGTTGACCTGGCGAACTACCGCAGTCGGGTTGGACAGGTCGAGAAGGTTGACCAGGGTATCCAGGTTGACCAGGTCGAGAAGGTTGACCAGGGTATCCAGGTTGACCAGGTCGAGAAGGTTGACCAGGGTATCCAGGCTGACCAGGTCGAGAAGGTTGACCAGGGTATCCAGGTTGACCAGGATATCCAGGTTGTCCAGGCTGGCTAGGAACACCTGGTTGAAGCCCGCATCCTTGTTGACCTGGATATCCAGGTTGACCATCACATCCAGAAGAGCCAGGACTTGCTGGACTACTAGGTTGAGAAGGGCCGTATCCAGGCTGCCCAGGCTGTCTAGGTGGAGTAGGACATCCTGGTGGTGGAGAGGGACCGCTACAATCTTGGTGTCCAGGTCCACTGGGTCGTCCAGGAACATCAGGCTGACCAGGGCGCCCATGCTGCCCGGGTTGAGGTCTTGACGGTGTGCCATCCGGAGGAAGGTATTCTTGACCAGGACGTCCAGGTTTTCCAGGTGAAGTAGGCTGACTTGGGCGACCAGGGTAGCTAGGGGATCCAGATGGTTGTCCAGGCGATGTGGGTTGACCAGGCACACTGGGTCTAAAACCGGGTTGCTGGGGTGTTGCTGGTAGACCAGGTCTTTCAGGCAAGCCCGTTGAACCGGGGCATCCAGGCTGTGAAGGATTACTTCTACAATCGGGCTGGCTGGGTGTTACAGGCTGACTAGGCCGTGCGGGATATCCAGGTTGACCACCATAGCCGGGTTGTCCGGAAGGGCGGTATCCAGGTTGACCAGGTCGACCAGGTGCGTCGGGGCATCCAGGCTGTGGCGTAGGGCCACTGCAATCCGGTAATCCAGATTGACCGTAGCCAGGGCCTCCAGGCAGTCCAGGTCCAGGTCGCGCAGGTTGGGACGGAGCGCCATAATTATATCCAGGCTGACCGGAGGAAGTAGGCTGTCCAGGACGTCCGGGTTGACCAGGAACTCCTGATGGGGCACCATACCCAGGCTGAAAAGGTTGTGTTGCAGGGCCACTATATGCAGGCTGCCCAGGTTGACCGGGTTGTGAAGGGGCACCATAACCAGGAGAAGGTCCTGATGGCTGTCCCGATGGGCCACCATATGCAGGCTGCCCAGGTTGACCAGGTTGTGAAGGCGCACCATAACCAGGAGATGGTCCTGATGGCTGCCTTGATGGGCCACCAAGCGTAGGTTGTCCAGGTCGGCTAGGTCCTGATGGTTGCCCTGGTTGACCACCATATCCAGATTCTGGCTGGCCGGCGCTACCCGGTTGTCCAGGTATCCCATATCCAGTTTGGCCAGGTCGTCCCACGCCAGGACTGCCAGGCTGACCAGGTTGTCCAGGTGCACCATAACCAGATGACGGTCTTGATGGCGGTGGTATTGGTCGTTGAATATCAGTTTCTTCTATTCTATTATCCGAAGGAGGGGAAGGAAATGGCACATTTGGCAGTTTATAATGATAACCATCTTCACGCAAATCAGTATCTAGATGCGAGACATCCGCCCTAGTTCCATTGGCTACCAACAGAGTTAGCAGCAATATAAGTAAATTCTAAAAAACGGATGGAAAGAAAGTGCAGAAATCTATTAACATTTTTAATAAAAACAAGAAAAATATTTAGATCGATAATCTAACTTGAAGATTGTATGCAATTGAATACTATATTTGTTATCAGAGTTTTCTTAGGTAATTTTAATATATAAAAGTTATTACACTCTTAGATGGCCGTTCAGCTATAAATTTTACTTTGCAATGCATTGGAATAATCAAAGTGATATCCATATCAAAACATCAAGATAATATCTGCCTTGTTAATACACGCTATTTGCTGTCATCACTACCAGCCAGCCAATTTAGACGATTCGAATTTAACAGCTTGTAAAGCCCTTCTACTGAAGCAAATCAAACACACTACAAACATCGTTAGATTACTTAACATTAACAACAACGACAAAAAAGTTGCAAAACCCATAATGTTTTTAGAAAATCTCATTGCATATATTATGTTAATATTCGTCACGAATTTTTTAATACAAAAAACAAATAATTCGGGCGCAAATTTTCATATGATGTGAATTAAACGGATCATCGGGAATATCGTTAACTTTGGAAATTGAGTAATTTTCGCATTTCGATTAAGTTTTAAAAGGAGACGTGATGATGCAAATTTGAACACTTTAGATTTTTGAAAATGTCAAACACAGGTACTGAAGTCATTTGCAACACTATTTATAAATGAAATCAGCGTACTTTGCCTCGCAAGCACTTTACCAATTTTTAGGGGAAACAAACTTACCATATTTACTTTATTTCCAATTAAAGATTTCTATGAATCTCTTAATGGCGTGCTGAATATGTTTGTTGTTCTTCTTTTCTTTTCTAATTTTTTTTCGCTTTATTAATCCATAAATGCTAATTATTGTTAGGAATACCGCCGCCGCGTTTAATTAAACGTTACAAAGTCGTATGTTCACAGTTGGGAATTCAAATTGCGAATGATGCAGCTAGAGTTCTCCCTTTGCTAATTTATATAAAATCCATTGTAAGGAATGCCCAAGTAGCTGAGCAGCGAAACAAAAATCTCTTAGCTTGTGAGATTTTTGCAGTTGTTGTTTTCAGTTCGAAAAAAAAAACTGCTTACACGCATACATATATTTATATTTATATATATATATATATACACATAAATATATACAGATATTCCTCTTAACTCACCGGAGACGTCTTTATTTATTATTGTAACTTAAAAATAAAGAAAACAAAAACAGCACAAAATTTTTATTTAGTAAATCTGTGTGCGTCTGTGTGTGTGTGTGTGTGTGTGTGCGCGCGCGTGTGTATGTGCACACATATCTAATACATGTATGACCGTATGCATATATACGCGTTATATCGTTTTAGCTTTGCTGTACGGTTGCAGAATAGTAGACGACTAGATCTCTGTGTCATACCTTACGTTTTGGCTGTATATATATATATATATATATATATATGTGTGTGGAAGAATGTTTATAACTTTTTGTTTCTTAAGGGAGATTTTCTACTCTCCTCCCATTGCCACACATACATACAGAATCACATAGACATAAATACGGCAGTCACTAATCTGTTCCAATCACAAACACAGTAAAGCTTTATTTGGTCTTTCAAATGCTTCTTAGCTTGTGAAGCCGATTCTTTATAATTACAACTCATCAGCAGCTAGTCTGCAATAATATGACAATACTTGGCAATAAGCGTCAATTGCAAGTTATTAGCAAAGATGTCAAAAAAAGCCTTTCAAGAACATTACTACATCATTCGTAGGTTTTATGAACCATAGTTAACACTTCGTTTTGTAGAAGACTAAATCGATTTAAAATTGGGTTTTAATTAAAATGAAATAAGTATGCAAGTATATATAGGCATACACAAAATTGATCTCGAATTATGTTTATGTTTTGTCTATATATGGAACGGATTTCGAGTGACACACATATACCCAAACAGGTATTTGATCTCACTATATTTATGTACATATTATAGATATCACTGTATATGTTTGTGTGTGTGTTCTTTGTATCCTTCACGAAAGGATCAGGGATGTATTCATTCTGTCGAAACGTTTGCAACGTCCAGAAGGAAGCTTCAGAGACGCCAAAAAGTATATCAATTCTTGATTGGCATCAAATTCTGAATCGATTTAAGCATGTCGCGCTGTCTAATGTCTGATGTAAACATTCTCCAGGCGGCAAAAATGAAGCTATCAACTTAAAGTTACAATAAAAGTCTTTGCACGCAGATTGGTAATCAAAAGGGGCCAAATCGGGCGAAGGACCTACAGTATTACTACAGTAAACTGATGAAATCTTTGTTGCTCAGCCGGAATAAAAAATTGGTTTTTAGCTGATTACTTTTAAACTACACAAGATATATGTACAAAAATTGCATTGTATATTCTATAGACGATACTGGCCGCACCTACTTAATTTTAAAATAATTTTATACTTTTCTTCAAAACTTGCATAACGCTTAGAAGCAAACTTTAAAAGCCTCATAAGGTATCTAAGTTTTTGGCAAATTTCAAACTCAAAATGCACCTAAGCACAGTCCTCTTTTCATCTGTCTATCTGTCCGTCTGCGCAACCGTGCAGTATCTATGGTAAACATTCTCCCATTCGCAAAAATGAAGATGCTGCCTACAAACGTACAAGAGTATTTGACAAAAAATACAACACACGCCACCCTTCTATGTAACAAAAACTATGAATATGTTTTTTGCTTGTTACCCGTAAACTACAACACATACACCACATCAATTTCCGCTTTTATGCTTACAATGACATATATCGCCCGTCCCCATCCAATATTATATTATTAGAATATGAAAATTTAGTTCTTTTTCTTTTTTCTTGGGATCGCGGTGATGGATGTAGAAGATTCGAGAGCCGTCCACTTTAAACAGTGGGGGCCTTAACCCGCTGAAATCCTAATACACTCCTCTTCCTAGCCTATAACACGACCGCTTGGGTATACCTATAAATGGGTTATCGTTCAGGTACTATCTATGCGCCTAATTTAACGCTTCTTGTTTCTTTGTTTCTTTAATATGTTTGAGATAAACAGTACTGCCGCTCTCTGTTTTATTAAGTTGTGCAAAGTGCTTGACACGACTTTGTTGGGGAGAGAATACTCATCAATTTCCGTCTGTTGTCTTTGTCGTTTGCTTTGCATGTGCGTGTTTGTATTTATGTTTGCGTACAATAATTTTTTGACCAAACCAACCAACAATTACACACATAAAATATTATGTATTCAATTAAAGAATCATATATAAATTGCATTTAAGAGCGAATTAAAGAACATTCAAAAAAAAAAACAACAAATCAATGAGTTTTAAAAATTACTTGCGATAGATAGATAGATAATTAATTTATATAAAAAGTTACAAGAGTTAGTTTTCACATTTGGTTTATCATAGGCACGTTCGCATTTCGTAACAGAAACTTCTTTTGTGTTGCGTAGCCTGTGAACTGAAACACATTCTAAGCTAGTTTAGAAGTAGTTAAAGATCGGGAACCAGAACGTAGACAGGCAGGCAGAAAATTTCAATTTTTTTCAGTAATCGATGACCTATTAATGACACGACAAAATTATAATTAACAAACAACAAGCTGCTTAACGTGATAGGTGTTCGTTGTGGGCTACCTGCTGAAGGGAACAATTTCAATTTCCTTTAAATTCGATCGACTATTCATAATTAAAACAAATTAACCGTAACAACAAACATAATTGATTATAAACAATTCTCTTCGATGGCGTAAATGCTTTACAAAATCAAAGTCGACAAAGTTAGCGATATTTCTATTTTCATTCTAACGGCAAGATCGAACCCAGTTGGGTTGGATAGTTTCCGTAAAGAAGATATTGGTTGTTGTTTGCATCGCACGTGCAATAAAAGTAAACTTTTATTTCTTTTTTATTATTATTATTATTATTATTATTATTACTATTCTAATATCAATGTGCTTATAGCATAAATATATATGTCTACACCTGATATTTAGCTCAGAGGTAAATGGGATTATTATGCTAAGACAATCAAATTAATTTTGTTTCATTTTCCTATCGGTCATTGACGTCACCTTGAATCTGTAAAGAGGAGATGAGCTCATTAAACGAAAACCTTCATTCAGTGTGCGGGTTTTTTATGGAAAAGAATCTAAATGAAACTATAATGTTTAATTTATTAACATTTAGACATTTTACTATTATTGTTATTATTAATGTTTTCTTCGCTTCTCTTTCTAAGCGATATTTTATAATTTATTTATTTATTTATATTTTTTTTCTTTTCATGATATTTCGTGTATGATACATCCTGTTGTTATTGTAGTGTATAAAAATGTGAAGAAAAAATTTGAAATTTCCAACAGCCAAAATTCCCGATGAATGCACATGTTCACGCCATTTAAAAATTATTATTTGTTAATGTATTTTAAGAAAACCATAGCACAAACAGCAGCAAGGGTATATCAACTGTCAGTTGTAACCAATCGAAATACTTAGTGGATCTGTATAAGAAGATTTTTATTTTGACTGAATAGCAGAAGAATTTCGTACCCATTCGTATCGATCAACAGTTGAGATATCTCTCTAAACTCGGCTTGGAATTGCTCCTCCTGAACTCTGAAGATGAATTCTGAAGAAGCCAAGATCACAATCCGCTAGCACTTCACGTGGCTAGAATGCTTGTTTGAAATTATTTAGGTAACTTCGTCATGTTGTACTATGTGCGACCACTTTGTCTTTTTCTATATCGTAACATTTGCGTAGAGTAGAAATATATATAGAGTATAGAGTTTACAGGGACGAGTACAAACCCTGATTGTGACAATATTCTTTTTTCTTTCTTTTTTTTTTTTTCCTGAAAAGTACTCTTTATATAATTCGATAGATAGATATGTTACATACGACATACACATGTATATACCTTATTAATACATAACCATAGTTCATCTATATACGCTTGCGTAGAGCTTTTCGTAGGCGTTTCCGTATAAGGCATCAAATCATTTTCTTGACTTAAACGTTTAGGTTTCTGACTTGGACAAAAATCAATAAGCGAATAGATAGGCATAAGAAGAATTGTGAAAGGGGAAAGGCAAAATTAGGCAGAGCGAGATATAAATTAAGGAGAAAGAGAAAATTGGAAGCGCAAATTGAAGGACGAACATGTACGAGAATAATAAGGATAGGTGCCTATACATGGCTAGGATTAGTTAATCCAAAGGTAAGATCAATGCAAAATAGGTTATGTCTGTGTCTAAAAAATATTGATTCTAACTATTGTTATGTATATGTATTTGTCACCCTGTCGGGGGTTATGGTTTCGCCATTGGATCTACTGACGTTGATTTAAAACTTGCTTGCAATTATCGAACGAATGGTGAATATTAAGACCTAGGCTGTTTACTCAAACTAAATGATCGTCTGCACAACTTTCTCATACCTTACTAGGATGCGAGCAGTGCTCTTATCAGCTTCAGTTAAACAATAACATGCATGCTAAGCTTACATTATTACCAAATTTTTTTGTGAAACATATTCGCTATTAAATGCTAAATGTATTCATTAAAAACAAAGAAGTACCAACAAGTGCACCCTGGATCTCTGCAGATTCGGACTAAAGTAATTAACAATAATAATATCTGTCTTGATTTTTTGTTTGTTTTTATTAAGCAGAAAGCAAAATGTGAAAAAAAAAAAAATTTGAAATTTTATTTTTTTAGTGAAACTAAATCAATCTGGAAACAAATAGGGATCATATATGTATATAACTGTAAGCAGAAGTAATCGTTAAAGTGACAAAGCAGTGGATAAAATGTTTTTATTTGAGATCAGATTTTTATATAAATGCTCTAAAGTTTGGCTATAACAATTGTTATTAAAGTTTGCAATGATAAAAAATTCGTTGTTTTTTTCTTCTCTGTTGGTTTAATAATTTAACACAATGT